CTGCCCCGGGTCAGTAGGGTGGCTGCTAGAAAGATCCTATGTCTGACATCTCTGAAACAGGGCTCGCAATCTTGATAACCCAGTCATGGCTCTTAGACAATTTCTGCGACAATATATTTGATCTTTCATCTGGTCACCTAACTACGCAGACGGCAACCCACTCGCTTATTATATGTGGGGCGCAGTTGAGTGAGAGACCAACAAAACTTCTTGTAACATCAAAGATGAACTGAAGTCAAAGATTATGGCAGCATTGACCAACTAAAACAAGGGGACAACCCAGAAGAGTTGCAGGTGATTCCAAAGACGTCTGGAGGCCGTGGTTGAAGCCAATGGCGATTTAATTGAAAAAAAAATTACTCTATACTATTCCATGATATTTTTTTGTTTAATTTTAGTAAATATATCTGATAAAATGAGATGTGTGTGTTATTTTCATTTTTGCATAATATAGACAACAATTCATCCATCGCACACTATATTTTATTAATACAATGACTCAATGTGGAATATTTTATATATATATATATATATATATATATATATATATATATATATATATATATATATATGCCCGGCACTTATATGAAAGCGCTCAATATCAGTGATAGATCTAACATATTTAGTTGGATTGATGTGATTTGTGACCCTGGGTTTTGGATTTATACGTAATCATAAATAAATCCAAAATATCAAAACTAATCAGTTTGTCTGAAGATCGCAAAGATCATGAAACCCATTTATATATAGCAAGTACTTGACTGTCTGTCTGACCCTTAAGACAGACACGTAAGGGCTGAAGACAGGTGGTGTCGGACCAGCCTAAAATACATTATACCCATGAGGGGTAATTTTTGTTTTAATATATATATATAGTCGGTTATAATAAACATATAGAGTTCGCTGTGGATTCGTTTTGATATTTTATATTACAAGATCCACCCGGATTATATACCAACGGATCTATTACACATATATATATATATATATGTATAGACACACACACACACACATATATACATATATAAAGTCATCCACAGACAGACTGTTTCGCAGATCTTCATTGTGGCTAGACATCCGATTGCCTCTAGCTAGGATCGAAACCCGACTGAATTGGCGTCAGTCGGAGATTCTACCACTAAGCTGTCGGCGCACGAGATGAAGGTGAATTTTAGCGTATTTATTTTTTAGATAAACACACACAGTGACCGACAGTAACTCAATTCGCTTTTGCCGAGAGAGTCTCGCTATATCAGCCATAATAGTCACTGTTTACAAACACACACCTCTTCCCCAGAGAGCTCAACTGAAATTAATTTTTCAGGATATATATATATATATATATATATATATATATATATATATATATATCTATATAGATGATTAATCGACAAATAGAAAGGAGAAACCAACAGAAAAGATCGTTATTTCAAGTAACGATCAAGTAATTTTAATTTCATTAATAATTATTTTAATTTATTATAACAAAAATATATTATAAATATTCTAAAATAAAACCATTTTCAAAACCTCCAGGCCCTAAAGTATCCAAACTCCATCGGACGATCAGCCTAATAACCCACATGACAACCGAATTCAGACGGATAGAGAGCGTAGCAGAATTAGACCATTAACAGAACAAGAACAGTGTGTTTCAGTAAAGACACTGGAACAAGGATGAAATATTTATGCTTAGAAATATTGCAGAAAGCAATATAAATGCAAAGGATGTACTTTATAGATTATTAAAAACTGTTTGATAATGAACTCATTTTCGGGTATGAGCCTTTGTTACGGCACCTAGCTAATTCCTATTGCAGACGTCTGTTCGCCGCCAGAGACAATCTGTTGTTCATCCTGCAACTATTCTGAGTGTACCTGCGTTACATCATAGTAGCCCTCCCACCACGTGGGTAGATGTGGCACAAGGCCGAGTTGAACGTGGGGCATCCGAGCCCTTAGGCTTCGCCAAAAACTCCCTGTAGAACCCGCATAAACGGGATCGGGTCGGTCTACCTCCCCGAACGAGACTCTGCCCTTCGGCATAGCCTCATCCGGGTTCCACTCTGCTGAGAAGCAGAGAGTTCGACCAGCAAGCCGAAAAAGATTCTGGCGTGATCAACAGTTTGATGAGGTAAGTAGACTCAGCGGTCAGGATGATTTGTGACTTCATTTTAGCAAAACCATCGATGGCTCTTGAATTGTATGGTGTACCCAAGTTCACTCACAAGGCTCTGGTGAAACAGTGATATATTTTTCAGGTATTTTCTAGCTATGCCGCAGGCTGGAAACGTTTTATTTTTATTGAGATTCGAATCCTGCTTTTATAGTCGGAGAACTACATTTCTAGACATGTGACCCTATAGAATACATTAATATTAAATCCTCGGCTAAAAAAATCCTAAATAAAAGCATTTAATCTATTAGATTTAATTTCCATCATATTCGTCCGTTGCACCTGGATATAAACATTTATTTCCGACACTCATTAGTGCTATTTATTTTCAGAATATCAGCGAAGAGATTTTAAAACTGATATTTTAATTGACCCGTTAATTAAATAGAATTCTATTTGCGTTTTTATTTTCAGTTCGTTCTTTTTTTCTTTTAGATCTCTGTCTATAATTCTTATATTATTAATTGAGATGCAATTTTAAAAAAAAATTCCGAAAGGACAGTATACTGGATTTTATTTCCACTTCTACTTTTAAAAATACAATTAACCGAATTTTATACGTGAGATGTAATACATAAAAATGTATCGTAGCTGTGGCAATAGCACAGACACGATTTAGGAATTTTTAAAGTTAATTCACCCCAAGCAAGGCGGGAGTGTCACTAGCAGAGGATTGAGAACAAGAGAAAAGAAGCGTGCTTGAGGAAAGGATACAAAGAAGGACGGAAAACAAGCTCAGTGTGTCAGAGGTCGATTGGCATTACACTTGAACATTTGAAGATTATAGTCATCGGGGAAGTAAGTAAGGGGAAGGGAGTTTCACAGACAGGAAGTACGGGAGAAGAAGCTGTTTGAGTAGAAGAGACGGTTTCATTTAATCGTTTTGACAGTGAAAGGGTGGGTCCGAGATGCCACCCCGGTAGGTCGCTCAAATTCATGTAGTCTGGGAACCAGCGAAAGTTTCTCGTCGGAACAGTTGCCGTGAAAATACTTGTAGAAGAGACAGGGGGAGGCGACGGCACGTCTGTGGGATAGCGATTGTAGAGTAGATACCAGATCAGGACCTATCCTCTTGTATATTCGTCTCTGAATTTTGTCGAGAACCTGGAGACGTACAGCGGGTGCACCAGACCATATATGACAGCAATATTCCATTCAAGGACGGAGGTCTGATTTATAGATTTGAAGGATGCACTCAGACGAGAAAAACTTTTTGGCACGACACAGAGAACCAACTTTCCTTGCGGCAGATAAAGCTTCTGCTTCAATGTATTTTGAGGAATCAGAAAGCCGAGTTCGAATTCTAGTTGTGTTCATTACATTCACTCTGATTCTATCTCGTCTCCTCCAGCTATGGGTAAAACAGCAGGATAGACTTGGTTGACAACCGGTCTAAGAGAAGTTAAAACTCTAAATTCCAAACCAGCCTGCTGCCTTGTAGGTCTTGCCTGTTCAGGCAAAGGTTAGAAGGTAACTTCAAAAACAAATCTATCCCCACTACCACGGGGTGCAACAGAAATTAATTATTTTTTATTTATTTTTTATTGTTTTTATTTTCAGTTCGTTCTTTTTCTCTTTTAGATCTCTGTCTATAATTCTTATATTATTAATTGAGATGCAATTTTTAAAAAAATCCGAAAGGACAGTATACTGGATTTTCTTTCGACTTCTACTTTTAAAAATACAATTAACCGAATTTTATACGTGAGACGTAATACATAAAAATGTATCGTAGCTGTGGCAATAGAACAGACACGATTTAGGAATTTTTAAAGTTAATTCACCCCAAGCAAGACGGGAGTGTCACTAGCACTCCCATCTCGAAGGAAGAAATTCGATCCCCACTACCACGAGGTGCAACAGAAATTAATGGACTCCTCAGGATTCGTAAAATGGTTAGAACTCTGTGATATGGCAATGCGCCGTGGATCTTTGTGATTTCGGACCATTCGCCCATGAGTGTATCACCGACGTACTTGACGACGACGACGGACCGCGGAATACATGCGGCGACAGGAAAGATGTGGAAGCCTATCTACAATTCATCTTTTCTTTCGTCACTAATATTTGCAACATTATACCAGGAGTATTTGGGATAGATATTAATTGCGTGGAACATCTTTGGGTGTATACAAGTTTTGCAAGAACAAGACCATCGAAAATTAATGCCCAGTCCATCAGTCAATATATCGTGTATTCTATATGCTTCCAAACTAGGCGATCAACAAAGGGTAAGTTGTTCGTCTCTGGAAGGACCGATGGCATCCAAGTTTGAGCGCAGGTTATTAACCCCATGTTGCCTGGTTCAACGACAGAGATTGATTGATTCTTTTTGTGCGGCTTATCAACCCTCCACAGGTTATTTAAAGCCAGGAAATATTTTCATATTTTATGATTTTTTTTTCTTTTTTGGAAATAGTGATAAGTTTTGTGATACAAGTCTTACTAATAAACCCATAGCTGGGGGAGAAGAGGTGGATATATACGTTTCCCATATACGTATTTACGCTTAAGGGAATATAACGAAAGCAACGGGAATTAGAACTCGGCTTACGGATTAACAATTTCGAGCCATTATCCATTACACCACCCGCACACCCAAGAAAACAATTCAGATTTTAAGATTTATTTTATTTATTTTCAAATAATAGTGATTAAGAGATAAAAGTCTTAGCAATTAATCCATATCTGGAGAAAGAATTAGTGGATTCATGCCTTTCCCAATACTATTAGTGTCTAACTGAATATAACGAACCCAACTGGAATTGGAACTTGGCTCTTCGGTTAACATTTCCAAACCATTGCACCACCGACATATGCAAGCCTACATCTGATATTCCCAAGAGGTCACCCATCTAGATATTAACCAGGCTTGGTGTTGCTTAACTTCGATGATCGTATGGAAACCGGCGTTTTAACCTAATGTGGCCGGTAACCGAACGGCTCCGATTTTTATTTTTATTTTGCCGATGTTCCATTCTGTGTCTAGAGGAAACTCCTTTTTTTTATGGGTCCTCCTTTATCGGGTTCGTTTTGTAAAATAAAAATAAAAAAAATAAATAAATAAAAAAGCACAAATGGAAATAAAAATCTTCCAAAAGATTTCATCCCCAACTTAAAATGTGCGTTTTTGATACCTTATCCCATCAGGATGTGAGCGATCACGGCTCTCAACAGATTTATTTTTCTTTATTATCAACGAACTGACGAAACATAGCTGAAATGGTTTGCCTTATCTTCACAGTTTTGAATTCGTAGGTATTCTTCTTATAGCCAGATTGTAGGTGGTTGGGAAGCAAAAAAGAAAAAGGTTCATGCCTTCGCGAATACATCAGTGCGAAAAAGAACGCAAAAGCCTTGGTCGGAATTTAACTTCAGCTCGACGGCTCACTTCCCCCGCTGAAATTATTAGGCTTCCAAAACATACAGCATCTTCTAAGTTCCACATTTCTTCATGACGTTGGCGATAGAAGGCTCTCCACGATTTCCTGGTCTTTCTAGCTGTTAATATATTTTGTCATTATCTCTCCTAAAACCTGTTCCGCCATCCATTTACACAAACTCTATCTTCTTCTATGTGCTGTGTCCTTTCAGGGGGTAGGTGATCACGGCTCTCCACAATTTCCTTTCCTTTTTACCTCTTAATTAGTTTTTATTAATTACTATTTTTATCTCTCCTAAACCTTGTTTCACCATCCATTTACAGAAACTCTTTTGTCTTCTTCTTCTTCTTCGTTTTCTATGTGTCATCTTCCTTCAGGACGTTGGAGATCAGGGCTCTCCACAATTTCCTCTCCTTTGCAGCTCTTAATATATTTTGTCTGTTGATATATCTCCTAAGCATTATCCCACCATCCATTTACTCAAGCTTCTTCTTCTTCTTCTTCTTCTTCTATGTGCCATGTCTTTTCAGGACGTTGACGATCATGACTCTCCACAATTTCCTGTCCTTGTGAAATGGATATCCAACTATGGTTTATTATCTGTACAACCTTAACACTATAAAATTCACAGATGACATTGTGTTGAGGGCAGACCCAGAAAGATAACAACTGGACCACGCAGGCAGGTTAGTAAAGGAAAGCCAGATGAAAGGACTAACTATCAATTACAAAAAGATAGAACGTACGTCTCTCAGAAGTAGAAAAAAATCAAGATCCTAGTTACAATTTAGAGGTGTCAAAAATGAAACACATACGGAAGCTTAAATATCTGGAAAGGGTTTTAATAGAACAGGGTCGCAATAATTTAAATTTTAATTGCTATACAAAACGTTTATTTTGAGGAACTCGCTTCCGGCTCCATGTTTTCCAGCCAAATTTGATCTTCAAAAATTTAAATGAAATGTCAATCGTTATCTACTGTCTTCCTGCTTGCTTTTCTATTGTTCTTATTCCTACATAATGTTTCTCTTTTTTCTTATTCTTTCACACTGAGTAATCGCATTTGTCTTAGTAGCATTATTGTCTTGCTTGCTTGATATTATTATAAAAATAGACAATAGTAAGTATAACTCCGAAATCAGAAATCACATTAGAATAGTAAAAGATGTCTTCCGGAAAATAAACAAAGTATCAAGAACCAGGAAAATTCCATTAGAAACAAAGAAAAGTGTACTGAACTGCTGCGTTAGATCTACTTTTTTTACATTAGAATAGAGAAAGATGCCTTTCAGAAAATAAACACTGTATTATAAACCACGAAATTTGCATTAGAAAACAAAAAAATGTACTGAACTTACTGCGTTAGATCTACTTTTGTGCATTAGAATAGAGAAAGATGCCTTTTAGAAATTAAACAAAGTATTAAGACCCAGAAAAATGCCATTTGAAACAAATGAAGTGTACAGAATTGCAGCGTTAAATCTACTTTTGTACATCAGAATAGAGAAAGATGCCTTCCGGAAATTAAACAAAGTATTAAGAACCAGGAAAATTCCATTAGAAACAAATAAAAGCGTACTGAACTCTTACATAATATAACTTCTCCATAAGGATGCTGAGAATGCCATGGAAGGAATATCTAAACAAATAGATAATAGAAAAAAAACAAAATATTATAATCAGAAAAAAAAAGATACTTGTAATATCTAGGGTTTATAATGAGGAAAGAAGGTTTAGAGAATTTAACACTCACAGGACATGTTGATACCAAGAAGGACAGACGAAAGCAGCTAATGTAAATCGATGGGAGGGGAAGGATAGTAAAAGAGCTATAAAGGATAGTAAGTTACCGAGTGCTAATATCACTCACGTCCAGCAGGGACAAGGCAGAAGGGAGAAGATTGTGGAATCAATTTCCGGTCACCTGCTTACCATGCGGATGACGTTAACTTTCAGGAAGACATCCTCCTTTCCGGAAAAGGGAGAACATAACAGAAAATGAATTGTCTGCATGTCCCACCTGTTAAAATAGTCCCCAACAGCGCGCACCACTAGCCATTAACCCTTTCATCGAAATAGATGTGTTTTTACCGAACATTTCTTTTTCAGACAAGGACGAATATAAACGTCCAAAACATAACGTTCAAAAAACTTAATACAGATGTATTTATACACGATCCTAATTCTTTTTATGCTCTTTTGTGCTTGAAACGAGTTCAATTGTCAACTCATACGTCTGGTAGAGGTGTGATCCACAACACGGGTACTTCAAGGTACCTCAGTTTCTTAGTTACTATATTAACAGATCGTAATAGCTATTTGGGGGATGTCATTAAATATATTTTAATGTTTTAAAAAAAATATTCACTATTATTATTGTTTAGGTCATAAGCATTATAACATAGCAGAAATAGCTCTATTGTGGAAAAATAAGTGAAATTACCTGACTGTGTGGGGTTACGGTCAGTCTAGTGAAATATCAAGTGAAAGCACTATTGTATACAAAAAGCTATAAAATGGTTAATTTATATTATGAGGACATAAAAACGAAGATGTATCTGAAGATATCTGATTCAAATCTTTCTACGACTAGCTATACTGAATGTTCTGATCTCTAAATTGTTTCCATGATTTTAGTAATAAAAAGAGCAGAAATAGTTATTAGTAAAAAAATTAGTAATTAATGTATAATTTTAAATCAAGCGCCGTCCGAGGCTGGCATCCAGCTCTCGCCGTTTCCCTGTCGAAACTACTAAATGTAGCCGTCTCTTCTACTCCAATAGCTTCATGTCTCGCACCTCTCGCCCGTGGAACTCCCTTCCCTATTCCAGTTTCCCTGAGAGCTATAATCTCCAACTATTCAAATGTAATGTCAATTGACATCTCCAGTTGCCTTGATCTATCCACTATCCTTCTCCTCATCCTTTCTCCTATCACTCCTATCTGATCTTGCTCTAAATTTTCTGTAACACCTTGCGTCCTAGTGGCTTCACGCCTTGCTTGGGGTGAAACGCTTAAAAAAAAATAAAGAAAATAAAAGTAATTCATACTTTTATTTTCTATTAATTAATAAATTTAAAATTGTACATTAATTACTAATTATTTTTAATTAATAACTATTTATGCTCAGTTGTTGCCATTAATAGCTATCTGATGATGTAACGCAATAATAAAAATTTAAATTTTATCTCTCTAACAGATGTCGAGATTTGCGAATTTTTTTTCAGGAAAATAGTTTTCTCGTCTCCATCAACTGTTAATACTCTTTCCAGTTTTGATTGGGTTTTCTTTCGTAATCTTTTCCTGGAATTCTTGGAAATGTTTTAAAAGAAGACGGGAAGTGCAACACCGAAGACACATTGGGATGGCGAAAAATGCCTTCCAAATGCTAAGCAAAGTATTAAGAAACAGTAAAATTTCGTTAGAAACAAAGAAAAATGTAGTGGACTGTGGTTTAATGTCAGTTCTCCTATATGGCAGGGAATGCAGTCCAATCTCCTCGCAGATGAAAAAGAGATAGTAAGAGAGAGAGAGAAAGAGAGAGAGAGAGAAAGAGAGAGAGAGAAAGAAAGAGAGAGAGAAAGAGAGAGAGAGAGATATCACGACAGCTATTGATGTGATTAAAATATACTTTAATGTCTAAAAAAAATATTCAATATTATTATTGTTTATCTAATAAGCATTATAACACAGCACAAATAGCAATATTGTGGAAAAAGGAATTTTCGACAATATACGCATTTTTTACGTATTTATGTTTAGTTTTTAAATTTATCAAAAACGACATTCTTGTACATGTAGTTATGGATAATATTATACATTAATTGCTATTTTTTTTAATTAATAACTATTTGTGTTCAGTTGTTGACATTAATACCTATAAAAATCTTTGAAAAATGCAATAATAATTTTTTTAATTCATCTATCTGGAAGATGTCCTGATCAGTAAAAACAAATAAAAATCGTCTAAAAATGAAACGTTTTTCCAAAATAATTAGTGAAGTGGTTAAAGCTTGCAAGAGAGATATTAAAGAGACAACAAAATTGCCTTGAGTTACAAAGGGTAGTAAGTTGTGGAGAGCCATGATCGCTCATCTCTTGTAATGTCTGGACTCCAGCTTCCCATTCCTCTCATTCTAGCCCCGAGAAAGCTCAAAATCTTTTACACGGCCTTTTAGGCTATTAATTATTTTTCTACCTCACAACCCGTTTCTTATGATAAGTCTCTCGTAACTCAATCGCTATTTCTATGTAAAACGTTCTGCTGAACTACATTCTTTATTTCCACCAGTATAGATATTTACAGCTAAGATCTACTACGCCATTCTCATTCCATTCGTATTATACAGGTAACAATGAAGTTTTATTAAAACGGATTTCCAAGGGCAGAAGCATTATGGAACAGACTCCCGAGGGGATGCTTTCCCGGAAAAGACAATCTTAACCGCTTCAAGTCTACGGTGAAATTTTATCTATTGTACGTATATTCATAATATGCACCTTCTTCCTCCTTTCTCTCATACGTATATACAAGGACGTCATTAAATA